TCAGACTGCAAAGTCGCTTGAACTGCAAGGTCAGTGGTTCAAGCTCACCAGCTGCTCCTTGGAAGCCCTATACAGGGTTGCTATGGGTCAGAATCAACTTGATGGAACTTAACAACAACTACATCATGAGGCTTATACATTAATGACCGTTTTTACAGAAACAGAAGAAGAGGAGCAAGTTAAATGACAGGAAATGGGATAACAATCAGGAAAATCTAAACATGGTATGGGGAAATTTTCCCAGTTTAACAAAACAAGAATGAAGAAACAAATCAAAGGGAAACTGTTACAGAATAAAAGAAATCTAAGAGACACAACAAACCCAGAAGAAAAGGATTGGCAGTAGGGTTGCTATCTATTTTCTCCCTCTATTGGTCACTTCCAGAAAGACATGACTAGGACATGTCTTTCTGTTAAGAAAGCTAATGTCTGACATTCTGGCAAATACATTAATGGTCATTCCTAGCAGGATGTAATGAATTTGCCTAGGTCCATTGTTGTTAACTGCCATCAAGTAGGTTCCAAATCATAGCAACCTATAGATAGGGTCTCTGAGGAGTCCTGGGGTGGGACTGCAGGGTAATGCGCTGGCCTGCAAGATCATTTTGAACTGCAAAGTTGGCAATTCAAGATCACCAGCAGCTCCTCGGAAACCCTATATGGGGTTGTCGAGTTGGAACCAACTCAACAGCACTTAACAACAACAACATTGGGTCTCTGAAGTGCGACTGGTTAGTTTGAACCAACCACCAACCTTGTGGTTAGAATCCTGTACTTATCCCCCAGCACGACATAGATCAGTTATCATAAATAAATCTAGAACGGAACACAACATCCTAGAAAATGTCATATATGTTACGTAACTAAAAGGATCTAAATGGGAGATGCTCGATAACCGAAATAGGGTAATGATAAGTAACATTCATAGCTGGAGACCTCATGTGTTAAATGAAAGCCAGAAACTTCTTATGCAGGAAGAAAAGATCTGGGGACTGGTGTATGCAGTCCCAGATTTCCCTAGGTTAACATGTGTTTTGTCATTATCTGTATCCTTGTAATTATTTGTAAAGTTTGACCCTGGCAAAAATCTTAAGAAGCTGATTCCAAAGTATCCCTAATTTTAAAGAATCTTTAGTCTTTATATTCTAGCTGAGTTAAAAACTAAATGAGTGAGCTTATAGTCAGGGGTTAGTAAATAACATCAACCTTTACAATATGTAACACTAAGTAAAAAGATGCCAAAAATAAAGTTTGCTAAAACAAATATTTTTTTAAGGTCACTGGAATATACAACTGTAAAACCAATCTTAAATAATTAAAACCAAAACTAATACAGGTAAGCTCTTTTGTCTTTCCTTAATAAACATCTTAAAAATAACACTGTTATGGCAAGACAGAGAATGAATATTGTCTTAGCTTGCATTTTTTGATAGCTTTATATAAATCTCACAAACCTGTCTAAAAATTATCAAAACGATGTAACAGCAACTTACTGAAGTTTCTCTAAAGAGTTCCCACTGAAAAAAGATACAGATTTTTGTTTTAACTTTCAAGAAAAGCTGAATTAAAGATATTTGGGACTGTTCAATTTATTTCCACAATGCAGACAGATATAGACAGTCGGAGAGCCAGCCCACAAAAGACTTGCAGTTGGGTAAGCGGACATACCGGCCAATGTTCTGTATGGCTGGAAATAAAAATGCAGTGGAAGCCAGTATAAAAAGGGATAAATGGCAGCCCCCAAATCACACTAAAGTGCGTATTTCAGGAAACTGACAAGGCGAAAGTCTGACTAGTGGTGATTACTGGATGGAAACACATAGGTAAGAATACTGTCTACTTGGACCCCAAGTAAGTCTCACAGAACACAGATTACACCTCAGGGAGAAAGGGGAGAAACTGTGCTTAAATTTTCAAGACTGTGGGGAAAAACAGCTACTGAAAGGACCTGGAATTAACTAATGAGATTACAATCTAGTGCCAGCCAGAGTGCGGTGATCACAGAAACCCAATTTGGAGTCTTTTATCTTTTCACAGAAACTACCTGATCTATCTAATTTACTGATTGTAAATAAACCTGGAATCTATGCATTTGTAAAGGCAGGGCTCCTTGGAAAAGTGTTGTTATAAATGTTAATAGCTGTTATATATTTAAGTTAACAAGGCACATAGAGCTAGACATTTCCATACCTTCTGCATGACTTTTCTTGCCCACCTCAATCGCACAATGTACCACTGTGCACAAGGAAAAGAACACCGAGCTGCCCGGAAAAGCAAGAGAATACGTTGAAGGATTCCAGACACCTTTTGGCGGTAATCTTTTTCAGCTTTTAAAAGAAGATCATCACCATCTTCCTGAGGAAATAATACATTTTAGTAGCTGGTAATAAGGAAACTTTAAGCGTTAAAGTGAAAATAAAGACGTTGTTGTTAGTTACTATTAAGTTGATGCTGACTCATGATGATCCCATGTGTGCAGTAGAACTACTACACTGCGTTTCAGGACTGTGACCTTTGGGGAACAGATTGCCAGGCTTGTCTTCCAAAGTACCTTTGAGTGTATTCAAACTGTCAACTTTTCCACTCTTGGATGAGCACCTAACTGCTTTGTTGTTGTTGTTGTTGTTAAGTGCCATCGAGTCAGTTCCGACCCATAGCAACCCTGTACAGGGTTTCCGAGTGTGTAAATCTTTACGGGGTTAGAAAGCCTCATCTTTCTCCCGCGGAGCAGCTGGTAGTTTCGAACCGCTGACCTTAAGGTTCGCAGCCCGATTAGTAACCACTATGCTACCAGAGCTCCTTAACTGCTAGCCACATGATATTCAGTGCTTCTCAAGGAAAGAATTTCCTGAGGACTCATAAAGGACATTTTAAGGCCTGGCCTTTGAGATGCCAACGATAACTGTTTTCTAGTGTTGAAGAAACACATCATCTTTCTCTGCCTCAAACAATGTAAAGAGCTAAAATTCCCATCTTCTTCTGAGAATAGTTTAAGCCTAGTACTCCGAATTCCAGAGTCTTGGGTGGCGCTGTGGGTTAATGAGCTGGACTGCAAAGTCAGTTTGAATCACAAGGTCGATGGTTCAAGCTCACCAGTCACTCCTCAGAAACCCTACACAGTGTCGCTATGGGTCGGAACCATCTCAACAGCACTTAAATGACAACAACTCCGAATTCCATTGGTTGGATGTCACAAAGACAGCTTCTTCTAAGTCTAGACAAATCCTACAACTTCAATGACACCTCCTCATAAAGCCTACTCCAGCACTTTGTTCATATCTCCATGAGAGCATTGATAATTTATTCTGTATGAATCAGTGCATTTGTTTCCCTCTTTACTGAGAATGCCTCAAGAAGGGCCTTTTCATCCATCTTTGTATTATCACAGTGCATAGAACAGTCCAGCACAAAGGAGAACTCTAATATATGTTTACTGAATAAATGCTGTTTGAACCAGTAGCTAAATATTATTTTCCCAGGTAGCGACATAATGTGAATATTTTAAACAGGTGTCAGCCCTTCCCATTTAAATAATCAATTTGGGAGGGGTATCTGCCATTCTCCTCTATATGCCATATGAATTAGGAAAAGCTGAGCTTACAACTCCAGCTTCCAGTGAAAGCTGTCATTGTTTGCCAATCAACTGCTTGTATTGGCCCTAGCCGTGTGATCTAGTCAGAACAAGAGTGATTCTTAACACTCACGTTCAGAATGCTGGGACCAAAATACTTTATTTTTTATTCTTCTTTTCTCTCTCCCTCTGGATATGGACAAGACATCTCTAAAAGCTATTGGTGGCCATTCTGCTACCACGAGGGGTGCATCCGTAAGCTGACACTTGACACCCATAGAAAACAAACTGTTAACATCAGGGCAGAAGCCTGATCTACCCAGTGGGCTTCTTCTTTGTTGTTGTTGTGATGTGCCGTGGAGTCAGTTTCTGTACAGGGTTTCTGAGGCTGTAAATCTTTATGGGAACAGAAAGCCTCATCTTTCTCCTGCAGAACAGCTGGTAATTTCGAACTGCTGACCGTTAATAAATTTTAATAATTCCTAGTTAATAAATGTCTTTACAGTTTAAACTATTTTAACTCAATATTCTATTCACCAAAAAAGGTTGTAATAATGTGATGTTTGTAATAATTCTTACATTTATTGACTAATTATTATATGGCCCAGGCACTGAGCTAAAAGTTTTTATAAAATATCTCACTAAAGATTTTTCATATCAAGGATCAAGCCTGTCCCTTTAGTACACAGGGTTGATAGGAACGGGAACCTAGACACTGGCTACCAAAAATGGGGGGCTATAAAGGCATAAAGGGAACCGTCGCCCAGAGAAGGATGTCATGCTGCATAAGATGGAGGGTCAGAGAAAAAGAGGAAGACCCCTAACGAGATGGTTTGGCCAGGTGGCATCATTGATGGTGTCAAGTGTGGCAGCGGTATTGAGGTTGGCCCAGGATAGGACATTGTTTCGTTCTGCTGTGCATGGGGTCGCTATGAGTCAGTTCCGACTCGATGGCAACTGACAACAACAACAAAGGCACAAAGTGGCTGGCTTATACTTTCAGGAGTACACTTCCTTTCAGAATGAAGGGACTAAGGCAGAACATCCACTAAACAGTTTTCCTCTTGTCCAGATGGGTGAAAAGACATGGGGGAGACTGGGAATAGGATTCTTTTGATTTAATACTGAGTGAGTGTTATCATGATCAATTGCAATTGTCACAACTGTAAATGTAGAAGACGTGAAAACAAAAATGGGGGAGTAGTTAATCTTTCATTCCAGGAACAGAGGACTCTAGGGCCATGAAGAGGAAAGAGCATGAGTGGACCTTGGGATTCTAATTAGAAAAGAGGCAACAGAGAAGGAAGCAGAGGAGATGACATACAGAGATAGAGCAGCTGGGGACTCTAGACCCACGGAATAAGAAATGCTATGTGCCTGCAGGCAGGAGGCTGGCCTGCAAAATCGGTCCTTTGGATATTTAAATGAATATATATTTTCTGTGTGGCATGTGAAAAAAGGAGGAGGGGGAATAGAGGTAAATACTGTTAACTGATGGAGCATGGAGGGGACTGTAATCATTGCGATGAAACAAAATACGATTTGTTGAGTGTAAAATTGATGATCTGCCCTACAAACAATCACTCCAATTTCAATAAAAGCTTTAAAAAAAAAAACTCACTTAACCCTGATAATAATGTTAAGAGATAGGCACTATTATCATCTGCATTTTATAAATAAATCAACCTAAAAAGCAGTATAGAAGGAGTCTTGGTGGCACAGTGGTTACGCACACAGCTGCTAACCCGAAAGTTAGTAGTTCAAACTCAACAATCACGCCACAGAAGGCAGACATAGTAGTCTGCTTCCGTAAACTATTTACACCACTGGGAATGCAATGGGGCAGTTCTCCAGGCACTCACTACGAGTCAGAAAAGACTTGACAGCTAAGGGACACAGCACTGTAGTACACTGCTTAGTGACTATTATCCAGTTCATTACATTAAAAACAGGACAAAACTAAGTCTGAATGGCTTTCGAGTTTAATGAACTGAACTTACTTCACTAAGAATAGCTGGCTGAGGACAATATAACGGAGGAGCTGGAAGATACAAGCCTGCAGGCACTAAGCCCCACAGTCTCTTACTGAAGTCCTTGGCAGAGTCTATTAGCAGGTGAAACGTCTCGGACAGAATATCTGAATCGGCCATAACTGCAGCTTTCAGGACTTCTTGCACTGAACCAAACAGAAGATTTGCATCTTCCTCTTCAATGGGATCTATCAAATACAAAATTAGGTAAAGTAGTTGAAAAATTAAATTCTAATTTCATCCTATTTTGTAGGATAAAATTCCAAAGCCAAAAAATTTGAGAATGGGCATACTTGTTAACAGAAATTTATGACAGATTTTGCTACCTTAAGATTACAAGCAATCAGAGCATGCAATTTCCCCACCCCCCCAGAATCATACAAGAAGATATGTTGCTATAACAACAATGCAATAAAAACATCATTAGGATTTACTCCAGTGTCCAACAATAATAATGAAAGTTGAAAAAATATTAATGGGAAAAAAATCAAGGGATCAAAATAATTT